AGGACCTCAGCTAAGAGGGACTTCCAGGACCGTCTGGGTGGCTCAGTCGGTTAAGCTCAAGTCACGATCTCCCCCCCCATTAATGGGTTCGAGCCCCGCGTCGAGCTCTGTGCTGAGAGCTCAGAACCTGGAGCCTGCTTCGGATTCTGTGACTCTGTCTCTGCCCGCCCCCTCCCTCAAAAAGAAAAGCGTTAAAAAAGCAAAAAAACTTCGGGACCTGCACCTCCCCGTCCTGGAGTAGTGCGGGCACACGCCTGGCAGACCCGCACCTGCGGTCCACGGGGCTCGCGGTGGCCGTGCCCTGGGCCCAGCAGCCCCCTGTGGATGGGCGGTTTCCAGACCGTGCCGGTGGGGGACAGGACAGGGAAGCCCAGGGGCTCGCAGCTTGGCCTCTGGACAGAGGGCATGGCTCCACCCCCCACAGCCGGCACACACCATTCGGGCCCCGGGGCCACAGGGCACTTGCTGCACAGCCTCATTCTACGTCCCCACAGGCAGCGTGGGGCTAGGAGTCGGCCACCTAAGTGGCCTGAACCAGGGGCGACGGAGTAGGGGACGTGGGCTGAGGGCCGTCACGGGGACGGTGCCAGACCCCAGGGGAAGCCCCTGAAGTCCGTCCGAGGCCTGCAGGAGCCAGCACCAGACTCGCATCTGCCAGGCCCATCGCGTGCCGGGCTTTTCTTAGTCACTCGACAAACATTTCCTGAAGCCTGCTCAGTGCCCCGGCCTGGGCCAGCATGGGGACAGACACGCGGGTTCCGAGGAGGGAAGAGACCTGCCTGTCATCAGGACCCCAAACCCATCAGAGCCCCAGGCAGCTCTGGGGCCTGTCACTGTCCCTAGGGCCAAACCTCCAGGATCCAGGCCTCTGCAAAGCTCTGCCCTCTGGTGACCCGGCGTATCCTCTCTTCAAACCAAGATCTAAAATCACTTTGCCATTTTCACATTGGCTGCCAGATGACTCAAAGCCAATTTGCCCAAACAGGAGAAAACTATGTGCCAATTTCCAACTTTCTCCAACAAGCGCTTTTTCTACTTTTAATTCATTGGATCCCTGGTGGTGATGGATTTTCAGAGGTCTTTGTCACTGATTTCTGCTATGTCCTGTGAACTGCTCAAATGCTTTTCACTTTTCAGCTCAAGGCTGGAAATAAATTTGAGGTGAGGAGGACGGCTAAGATTTCTACACCAACTCCTCTTTGGCCGCCGTGACATGCCCGGCACCCGCCGGCTACTCCCTTCTCACAGAGCCGCCTCACTGCATGCGGTCCCCCCGGGGGGCTGATCCCGCCCTTGCAGTGAGCACAGGACTCGGTGTGGACACCCTGAACGTCCTGCCCTCCCGCTGGTATTATGACCGGCTCAGAAGCGGACTCGGCACACGAGCCAAGAGTGTTCTTTCAGCTTTAGCTTGAACCCCTTGCAAAAAGATACTTCCTCTCTAGTGCCACTTCCGAGCCGGGAGCCACTGAGGCTGCTTGCTGCCAGGAGGGAAGGGCTGTCTGAGCAGGAGACCAGCGCAAAGGCAGGAAGGGGAAACGGAAGCCTGGACTGTGGACCCACAGGGAGGTCTGAAGACGGCCCTTCAAACCCCTGGGCTCCAGCTGTACCTGAAGCCTGGAATTTTCTGTTAAAGTGGCCACTAAGCTCCGCCCTGTGCTCCGTCCGCTGCAGCAGTAAGAACCTCGGCATTACTAGTAAATCTGCGAGTGGCAGATGCTAAAATACGGAACGAGTCGGTCACGGTGAAGGCGAGACGGCAAGGATGTGCCGCCTTCAGCTCAGAAGCTGTCACTCCTCAATACGTCCCAATAAAGCACCTGCTGGGATCAGAGCTCCAGGGGGCCTGGTCAGGAGAGTCAGGGAAAGTTCTACATGTTCAACTCTGCCGTCCCCGGCGGTGGCCCTGCTGAGAGAGGAGCTCTCATCCGGGGCCAGCAATCCAGGTGGGCTTAACGTCAGACAGCGTCAGAGACGCAGGCTGTCTGCCCCAGGTTCAAGTTAGTGCCTCAAAAGCAGGGACGCCCTCAGGAGAGTGGGTGCCGACTGCTTCCAGATGCCCTGCTCTGCACCCCCATTCTGAGGAGCCCTCTGGGGGACTCTAACTGCCCCTGGTGTCACTGGCACAGGGGGCCCCAAAAAACACGAAGATGGAAACCCCCGAGCTGGGGTCTTCAGAGCTCCCCCCAATTTTTCCGGCCTCGTTGAACCCAGGGAGCTAACACAACACGAATACACCAGCAGCTTCCCGAGGTCCCGAGAGGTGCATGGTCAGACGCCCCCCCCCCCACAAGCTCATCACTGTCGACCCCCAATTCCCCACACCTGCCCTGGCG